GCGGCTAGCTTGACTGTGACTTCGTAAGTGAGGGCTCACTTGACCGCAGTTGACAAAAGGGGGTTTATGGGGGGGTGAGACCAGAGCTGAAACTGAGGTTTTGTTTCACAGATGGTAAAATGTGGTGTAAATATATTACATCAATATGCGTAGCCTGGTATATTGCAGTCATAGAAGAACATTTGTTCAGCCTTTTCCACTGCAGGAACAGAATCAACAAAGTAGTCTATGAATGCACAAAGATGCGGTCAGCAGATCTGGCTTCAGCACGGGGGAGTTTGTCTTATATCAACCAGCTGCTTTGTTTTAAGAAAACACAACTTGTCATGTAATCGTCGTGAAGAACCTCCGAGGAATTTTAATGCAGCGGAAGAAGAAACGAGTAAAACCACTGGATGAGCTGGAGAACCTCAGTTTTTATCCAGCCTGGTCTATTCATCATCGTAATTATCACCTTTGCATGAATACAAAAACACACACGCATGCACGCAACTGCAACCGAGCATTAAACGCACGATAAATGCTTGAGTTATGCGCGCATTTCAACATTTCTAAAATATGAAACCGTCAATGTTTCTTTTGAGGGAAAAATCTGTAAACATGTTTGTTTATTTTTTGCAAGATTAAAGGGAGGAAAATATGAGAGCAATGTGAGATATACTTAAGACACGCTATTGTGAGGGTTTGGATCATCTAAATATGCCATGTGAAGCTACAAAGAGCTCCTGCAATGAGTGCTTAATTGTGTGTGCAAAACCCAAATCGCACCTTATCACCCTGTGACCACAACTGGGGGGGGGGGGGGACTGTGTTGTTCTGCATTGAACTGATATGTAAATATTTATGTAGTCACCCGCATTAACTGTCATTCTACCAGAAAAGGGGGCAGGTTGAGAGAGGGCTGCCAAAATCAGACGAATCAAATGTTTGAACACTTGGAAGATCTGCTCCTCTTCGTCTGAGCGTATCTGTTAAGTTGTACCTGCGCAGGCAGCTGCACACCTGGATTTCTGTTTACACTCCAGCTAGAAGAGTCCTGCTGGTATGACGTCAGCCACTCATGCTGCAGAAACCTCGTCCAGGATGACCTGGCCTTCATGTACATATGAAACCCAGAGTTGAAGGGTGATTTCATAGCCTTGTAAACCATCTGTTGACAGACGTTTCAAAAATGTAAAACCTCCCTGCTTGGCTTGATTTCCTTGGAGCCTTTTTTTTTCTTTTAGATTTTACAGTCTCGCTCTTCAAACGCTGACCTTCTATCTTTCCCTCTTGCCTTTGACCTGTGTGACACCCATCGTGAACTCAATGTGAGCACTTTTCATGATTTAGCAGTGTTTGCTCAGATGGGTGCACATGCAACTGTGCAGGCATACACACCGGGCTAACTGACAAGGTCACATATGGGATGTGCTCCTAAACTCTGTATCATTTTACAAGTGTAAATATTAGTCAATGTCAGGAGCGTTTACACAGTAATGGTAGTCCTTCAGCTCTACTTTACTTGAAGCACTTTTTCTCTCCTCCTCTCCCTTGAGCCTCTCTTCTCACAACCTTCTTCCTATTACTCCCCTCTTGTTCGATGCTCATGTAATCCCCCATTTCTCATTACCCAATCTTCTCTCCTGTTTTCCACGTCTGCTTTTGAGCACCAGTAGTCTCTGACAAGACCCAGTCTTATTCCAGACATCCCAATTTCCCCACATTGAAATCCCCCTCGTCTTATTCTCCTGACAAAATGTGATTAATCATTCCATTAACTGATCCAGTGTCACTGGATTGTTGAGGAATACTTATAATACAACCTCAACCATCCTCCAGGGAGACACCTAATCTTCAGGCCATCTTCCAGACCTCTCAAACAAAATGCTTTTGTGCACCACATGCCTGAAACAGCTGTCATCCAATGTGGGTTTGATTGTCATGAAATCTGCCCGTGGGTGAGAAGAGCGAATAGCAGGAAGTTAATGTTTCAAAAGAAAAGCACAACAACAACTTGAACCTGGACGGTTTAAAAGACATCGTTTCACCAACGGCACATTCTCGCCTCTGTCAGTGCGCCCCAGGGTGGCTGTGGCTACAATGTAGCTGCCATCGCCAGTGTGTGAATGTGTGTGTGAATGGGTGGATGACTGAATGTAGTGTAAAGCACTTTGGGGTCCTATGGACTAGAAAAGCGCTATACAAATGCAGGCCATTTACCATTTACATTCACCAGCTCCTTTGTTAAATACACCTGTTCAGCTGCTCGTTAAGCAAATATCTAATCGGCTAATCACATGGAAGCTAGTTAATGCATTTAAGCATGCAGCCACAGATAGCTCTGCTGAAGTTCAAAGTGGGCATCAGAAAGAAGTGACTTTGAATGTGGCGTGGTTGTTGGGCCGGATGGGCTGGTGTGAGTATTTCAGAAACTGCTGATCTGCTGGGATTTTCCCACAGAACCATCTACAGAGAACTTACAGAGACTGGTCCGAAAAGGACCAGGGAGCAGCAGTTCTCTGGGTGAAAATGCCAGAGGAGCATGGCCAGATGACTCATGCAGTAAGACCTTGAAGCAGATGAACTACAGTAGCAGAAGACCACACCAGGCGTCACGCCGGTCATCTGAGAACAAGAAAGTGAGTACGGTTCACACGGGCTCACCAGAATTGGACAATAAAAGATTGAAATGCTGCATCATTCATAGGGTAGGTTGAGAATCTGATGTAAACTACATGAATGAGTGGATCAGCTGCTGGTCATGGTGTAATGGTGTGTCCTAGTACTTTGGGCCCACTAGTGCCAACTAGAGTTTAAATGTCACAGCCAACCTGAGTATTGTTGCTGACCATCTCCATCCCTTTACATATAATGCATCGTGTCCATCTTCTGAAAGTTGCTCCCAGCAGGATAACAAAGCTCAAACTATTGCAAACTGATTTCTAAAAACAAAAAGGCAATGAGTTTGTGGTACTTAAAAAGCCACAGTTACACCTCAAAGCAACAGAGCCTCTGGGATGTGTGGAATGGGAGACTCAAATATGCAGTAACTGTGTGATGCCAGCTTATCAATATTGATCAAAATCTCTGAGGAAGGTTCCCAACACTTTGTTAACTGGTGCAAAAATGAGGTAGTTCTGAAGGCAAAAGGTGTCCAACCCAGATATAAAGATGTACTTTAAGTGTCCAGTGGGTGTGTCAATACGTTCTTGGCATGTGCATTTAGTAATGTACAGGGTGGGCCACTTATATGGATACACCGTGCCACAAACAGGACTTTAACATCACCAACCATTCCCATGTTATTATGCTGTATCCATATAAATGGCCCACCCTGTATATGCAAGAAGGAGAATCTTTATTTGAAGGAAGAAAAAACTCAAGGAGGCACAGACAACATTAAAGACTGAGTAAAATACGTCCTCGTTGGTTTTACACTCGGTATTTATTGAAACAAAGTAGAGCATTGAGCCAATTTGTAAAAAATAACAAAATATTTGCTATAGCACATTAAGTTTAACAAACCTCAAGCTTATAAATATACATAGTTGGATTGGTAGAAATAGTTTGTCTAGCGAGAATCATCACAGGGACAGTGAGAAGTGAGTGGTACTGGAAACCTGTGGCAGCATCGTAACCTGAACACCTGTGATACCAATGTGTGTAAGAGTAAAGCCAAGCACGAGCATGACTTGGTTCCACGACGATAAGGTGCATTTCCCTTTTGCAAAAACAGTGAGGAGCCGCATTAGTGAGAATTAGTTTAAAAAGTGAACTTTGGGATGCCTGCCTCATTACTGGTCTGTTATGAAGAGGATGCTTTTCTGCTGAAAGCTAAAACGAGGATCTGTTTTAGGAAAATAAATACAGTTTACTGATTGGTTTGTTGGATAGACGTACTATATACACAGAATATTTCTCCACTGTAACCACAACATTGCCCATATATATTTAAACCGTGTTAAGTATTGTAGAATAATGTTAAATGGATAATTTGAAGTCATATGGAAACATTGAAGGCTATAATATTGATATAACGATAACAGCTGAACAGACACGTACAGACATGTTTAAGCCTCTGTATCAAAGTGCATAATGATGGAGGGCTTGTTGCAGCACCTGGGGAACTGTAAGGCATCAGGGACAGCTTAGTCAAAATGGCCCGATCCCCGAAATAGCCTCTTCTTGTGCCCATTGTACTCCAAGGACTCGTACAAACCGACAGTGTTCCTTACTGTACGTGTGAAGGGGGACAAGCAGACTTCAGCAACGATGTGAAGGCTGGTCTGGGAACAGGCCCTTGAAAAACACATCCATAGACTACAGCACACGTTCTCCTCTTTATAGTCGCTCTCCAAACAACAAAATAGGACCTTTTGTCAATTATGCCCCAAAAATTAAACCTTACTCATCTATGAAAGGCACAGTCCAATTTAAAACGCTGTGACCCATTTCCTCTACGGAGTCAAGAAAAATGGCTTTTTCTGTGGTTTAAAAAAAAACCCCCCCCCCCCCAAAAAAAAACAAACAAAAAAAACAAAACAAAACAAAAAACAGTTAAAAGGAACCGTGGTATAAAATTTCCAGCCAGATTTAGGCACTTGAAAGATTTAAGTTTTCTGCTGATGAGCGGGCCAAAATAAAACATTACAATCTGAAAATAAATATTTCACAATACTCTCAGTTTCTGAGGACATGATTTTTTAAGTCTTTTTGCAATGGCATAATTGTTTAACTCTATAAATATAATTTATATAGTTTCTTTCTTCCATTCTCTCTGTGCTCATGACTACACACAGATTTATGCCCATTATCTGCAAGCAAATACACACAGGCAACACTCTTCTTCTCACTTGCAGACAAATTGGTCTACGACTTTGGTGCAGCGCTTGCACTTGACGTAGCAGCACCAGTGGAACTTGCAGTGGCACCGCTCCACTATCTGGGCCTTGTACTGGTCATAACCTCTGCCGCAGCACATCAGCTCACACCCATCCATGCCCTCTGAGGTCTTGTTGCAAAGCCGCCCCACTGTGCCCAAAGAGCCTGTGCTTTGGTTCTTCAAGCAGTAGTCTGGACTTTGCTCGATGTACACCAGGTCATGGTTCGTGGGAGGGTTGAACCTACTGTGCATCTGCACCAGCTTTCCTCTCGAGTTGAGTTTCATGGCTACGGCACTGTCATACTTCTCCTTCAGTGCATCGCCCACCTTGCGGAAGTCGGCCAGCTGCAGCCAGCAGGTCTTCAGGCTGCAGGAACCTGATACTCCGTGGCACTTGCAGGACACGTGGGCAAGGTCTGACACAATCTTGAGAAGAAGAAGATCAGAGAGAAACAAAAACAACAGGTTGCATAATTATTATTCTTCAGAAAACGGAAAAAAGAAAAGAAACTTGACCACATGCTTCGTGCTGTAAATTCACCCTGCCTGTATAAATATTTGAATAATGTGCTGCTCTTGATCTCATGAGGCATCGCTTTGCTAAAAAGGACAGAAAGTGCAGGGTGCTCCAGGGTGCAGTGATGTCCACTCGTTTGTCCTCCTTGAAAGAGTACAGCCTGCCAATCTGGCATTACGATTCCTTTGAGGTGGTTTCAAGATGTTTTAAAAGGAAAAGAAACTCCAGAGCTGTCTGCAGTGACTCCATCTTTTCATAGATCAAAGCCTCAGGGGAGCAGATGGAGCTGTTACACAGATGATCAGTGGAAACCTGTCTGATTGACCTGGACTGGACTATCTCACTTAAAAAACAAACAAAAAAAAGCCTTTCAAGCTCTGGTTGGTCTAATTTTGAAGCGTGAAGTATATACACGTCTCTCTGCTTCTTTTTAAAAAAAATAATAAAAGATTTGTGCGTGCACGTGCATGTGACTCGGCCATCTTACCCTCCGTCCTGCCTCATTATTGTGAAGATTCATCAACAGCCGTGCATTCTCGTGTGAGCCTTTGGGGAAGCTCTTCTCCCTCTCACGGGCATCCACAAACTCCCTGGAGAACCTGTAGCCATAGTTGAGGTTGTCTCCGCAGCCGCCCCAGAGCCAGTCTCGGGGAAGATCTTTGGGGCGAGCAGCACGACTGCACCCACAGCTGGAAAGCTCACCCTCTCTGCAGGCCCGGCTCACGGCGTTCACCACTCCGGCGGCACTTATGGCATACGTGAACGCCGTTTCTCGACTGCCTGCAGATACAAATACCACATGACATTTGAAACAAGACATGAGTAGAGATCCAAATTTTGTTTTAAGCTGCCCAATTTTAAAAACACTGCAACCCATGAGACAAGAAAAGTGATCTCCATCCACTGCTTTCATTTTTGTAGGTTAAGCATGCACGTGTCTTCTGTAGCCAGTGGATCTCCCCATCGTTTGCTTTAAGTGTGTGTGTGTGTGTGTATGGCACTTTGAGATGTGATGTCATTTGACAGCATTCACCATACACTTAAGATTACAGAGCACTTCAGCCAAGCGCTGCAGGGTCGTCATCAACAACATGTTGAACAGTGGAATCTGGTTTGCTGTTATTGGGCTTCAGCCAGAGAGAAGACGGCGCCCTCCAGTGACAGAGATCCTTCTTAACAAGTCTCTGCCATTTCACCTAAATTGAACGTGACAACGGTTCTTTTAGTTTATCTGTCACGACTGAGTGACTCTGGAGCCGCTGTACATTAATTCCAACTGTTTCTACCCTCAACATTTCCTCTATAGAGCGAAGATTTAAAGAAAAAAAAAAGGCAGAAAATTGCACATAAGCAGTTTTTGTTGCTGTACGAAGCCACAAGAGAACTAAAGAAGAAACAGACTAGCAAACGATGAAGCCGTGTGTTGACACTGAAGACGAGGACTGCTACACAATAAAAATGCACAGCTCATATACATGCTCGGTCAAACCTTTAGAGACTATGCTATAATGACAATAACATATGGACAGAGTGAGATGAGGGAAACGAAGGCGAGTGAAACGATAAGTCAAGAAAGAGACGGAAAAGAAACAAAACAAGCAATATAAGAAAAGACACACTTAATATTCCAAAAAGGAAGAAAAGATGAATAAAGAAACCTCCTGGAGAGGCTGAAAGATCCAGGTGGGAAATACTGCTGGAAGCATTAGTGATCAGAGAGCGTGGTGGGGGGTTTATTAGGTTAGTACAACTTTTAATCCAGCCTGAGTACTGGCCTAACGGTGGGCCTGCAGACAGACAAACTGTCGTCTCCCACACTGCTGCCGCCCTTCTAATGTCCCCCCACCCTCGAGCTAGCCAAGCCATGCAAGGTCTGAACCCAGCCACGCCGGCACCCCCTGGAGCTATGCTTTAAATCACCAGCAGTGTCCTAAGCCAGCAGACAGTAAGACAGGCTTTCATATGGACAGCTATAGAGGGGAGGACATGTTTACATGGCCCAAGGTGGACTGAGATGGGATCACTGTTGGGGAGGAAGTGGGAGGGAGAAGAGGAATGGGGGGAGAACGGCTGCTTGTGAAGAATCGTTTGTGGAAAGGGAGTAAGGACCAGAGACACGGCAGGCAGAATCACCGAGAACAGAGTCAAAAGCTACACACAGAAGTACGGCGCGTTAAATGGTCGAGCAACACGAGTGAAACGGTGCGACATACACATGTCCATTCAAACCGTTTCAGCTCTTATCCTTAAAATGTCCCCGTTAGAAAAGTCATCTGCAAACACAGTAAGAGGAACGCTTCTCTGAATAAACAGTCACCACAGAAACTCCTGACCATGTGTCCTGTAGATCATCCAGAGAAAAGGTAACATTACATTTAAAATTTAATTTATTTCATTACATTTCCTTAGTGGGACAACACACATCCAGTGTCTGCAACTGGTTTCATTTGGCTGAACTAAACACTAAAGACAAACTAAAAATAAATTTGAAAAATGGCCAAAACTGGAAGATCTGACCCGTTTAGATTTAGCATCCTAAGCTGCTCCAACATCCAATAAAACTGGAACAATGTGTGTTTAATGATAGGACCCAAGAACAGGACTTGATGTTAGGGACTGGAAAGCTCTTGAACTTTCTATAAGAGACAAACAGACAATGTAATCTCTGACGTGGTGATATATCGCTCCATATACTCGTAGCACTCCCCTTACTTGTAAATACACAGAGTCAGCTACAGTCCAGAGTTTGTGTGTCTGCGTGTGTATGTGTGTCTTTGTGTATTAGACTGTCTCCCATTCATCAGGGGGGAAAGCAGATTCTCCGACTCCCTCCTGCTCCATATCAGGGGGCTGGTTTAGCAGGCCAAAGCCACATGTGATTTATCGAGCAACCTCACCCACCAACTATTCCCTCCACACAGCTGCTGAGCATCAGCAGCCTCATGCATTTCACACACTTTTCACAAACATAAAAAAGGGTCAGTGACTCAGAAAGAAGAAAAGACATAAAATATAAAAATCTAAGTAACCCTGTTATATCTGGTACATACAGGAAATGTGCATATCAACATGCTGGTGAGCACAGTTATGAAGCCGTATCTTTGTTAGTTTCCTGTGTCTTTGTGTACGCGTTTCTTAGAATATACGGCACGTCATACAGCCTTTGTCTCTTACCTATTTGCATGACCCGTCCAAAAACGGAGGAGTTGTCCACCGTGCTGCAGTTCCAGCGCCGATGTCTGAACTGGTACTGGCACTCTCTGATGCCTGTCTTGGCACCTTCACCGATGTACTGCATGTGGTCCTGGTAGAGCTGGCACAGTTTCTTCTGGCCCTGCGACAGGCCCACCAGCTGGCTGCACAGAGGCTGGGCGCCGATGATGTAGGCCTCTGGGATTAGTAAAGGGTTCATGGCCAGAGACCTGCGTGAAGGGGACACACAGTGCAGTGTTTTCAGTCATGTGTCATTAAAACAAATGCATCCACGTTGTTGGGCCAACACTGCAATCAGCAGCTGACTTCACTTGATTGGGTTCTCTCCATTGATGATGGAACTATATTAATCAGTGAAATGGAGGTGCAGTTAGTTCCTGGGTGGAGTAAAACCCTGTACACTCTTAATGTCAGAGGACAGCCGATGTGAAAGTCATTTAGAGCCAAGAATATACAGCGAGTGAAGCTTAGACGAGAGGAAGAGCAGTCAGGAGATAAAGGAAAAGAAAGAAAACGCAAGTAAAACACAGATGCATGAAGGAAATAAAGGGCTACGTTTTAAAAACACACCACTGTTGTCCGACAAACGGGAGCTCACGCTCCCGCATCCAGTGGCTGACGGCTGCGACCACTGTAATCACTTTTGAGTTGAACAATTTTTTTTACAGTTCTTTATATTATTTTTTTTAATTAATAAAAGATACAAAGCTGTTATAAGGAAAGAGTTGATGCTACTAGATTGCCTACGCTGGCTAAAACTGTGAATTTGGAAAGAGTTTAAGGTTCTTTATGTGCCTATAAAGCCACGCATCGGTGGCTCCCGGGTGTATTTAAGAAGTTCTCTGCCCCTGTGCTGCTAGGTCTCTGAAATCCTCTGGGCAACTGCGTTTAACTGCTCCATGATCGAGGTTAGTGGGAGATTTTTGTGGCGGGAGCTCCAGTGAACTGGAACAGCCTTCCTCTCACAATCAAATGCTACCCGCAGGACTTAAAGAAAAAACAAGACGACAACAATAACATGTACATATTTTAAATGACCCTTGGACATTTTTAGTCACCTTCGTATTTTTATATTAATTTAAAAAACATAATCTCACAACTTCTGATATCATTCCACAATGTTGTTGTATAGTTTGTGCTTTTTGCACCTATTTTTGATGTTACTTGTCCAATGAAGGTATACAAATTCATTTATTTTAAAACAGGACATTTTTTTCCAAACTGAATTATATAAGGATTTCCATGTGTGTTTCAAAATGTGCATTTTTTTCCATCTTAACTTTAAGTTATGTGGTCGGCCAAATACACCGGTATGTAGGCCGGTGTGTTTTAAAAGAAATGTGTAGCTTACTACAAAAAAATATATAAAAGCACAGATATGATTAATTCTCATAGGTTTTCTCAAGTGCATTTCCTCATGTCAGCTCACCCGAGCAAGAGTAAAATTCAGCAGTCGTGTAACTTCTTATAGCACCAGATCATTTCAGCTAAAATAATTGTTCCGTTCAATTTTGTGGAAGAGAAACACAAAAACAGAGCGAGAGAGCGAGGAAGGAGGAAACACCAGTATGAGCATCTGGTTCCAGGCCACAGGACAATTAGAGCGGCCCATCTCAGAGCCCCCAGAGAGAGACAATTAGCCCCTAGTGTAACCTGATAGACTAAGGAAACTCAGCGGCAAGGAAACACAGAGGGAATACGCAGAAACATACACCGATATACACAAACGGGCACACAGTAGAAAGGGGGAAGAAGAAAAATAAATCATGCACACTAGTGCAGTCTGATGCTGTCTCACAAACATGCAATGAGCGCGCTCACAACTCCAACACTCCAAAGCACTCACACCTGTGCGTCCTCTTGAAAAGGAAACTGACAGACACACACTGTGTGAACATCCTTTCCAGGGTCTGCTGTGTAGTAATGTGCGAGTCCTCAGCTGCAGGACTAATTTCAGCTGTTTCAACTTTAATGTAGCTTCCTACTTAGCTTAATTAGTTTGTATCTGTATAAAATCTTTACAATTATTTGTTTACATTGTTATTTTTCTATAACTCTACCAGCAGAGTATGTCACTGTTTGCTCTGATTTGCTCCACTGGAAAATAAAAATATTTTCTAAGAAGTTTTGGGTTAAATGTCCAAAGTTCTTGAACAGGAGCTCTGATTGGGTACAATAAATATTCACCAAGTGTATAAACACAGAGCTACTGGATGTCAAGTGTTGTGATTATCAGAAGTGCTAGGTGTGTTGAAAATATAGACTTCTCTTTAAACGGAAGCAGGATACACACACACACACACACACACACACACACACACACCGTATTTGCAAATATTTGGACGCAGACTCGGAAACCACAGCATTCTATGTTTTTTTGCGATGTTCATAATTTTGGTTTGGCAAAAGAAAGTAAGGGAGAGAAAGTTTTCTTGCAAAGCTGATGGTATACACAGAGTATGACATATAGATCACACATATACAGGCCTCAACAAATAAACACTTAAAAAACAAACAGTCAGTATCACCTATATGTAACTTTTTGCCGAGTCTTTTTAGGCACCGCTGTCTTATTTACAAATTAGCGTATGACAGAAAAGAGAATGACAAGTAAACACACTTCAAAGGCGCACACTGAACAAATTAAGACTCACAGAATTGCTGGCATATGGAAAGAAAATTATTGCATACCACCATGAGTTGGCCTCCACCACCACCTGCATGAGGAGAGTGAGGAGTGTGAGGGCAAAGACACAGTGTCTGGAGTCCAACACGCTGCCAAAGGGCCAGCAAATCGGCCGACGCACACAGCCTAGCCCCAGGTTCATACTGCCAGTGATCTGAAGGAGAACAGAGAACAGGATACTTGTCAGTCTGCCTGCTTGACTAGATGTTTGTTTCTCATGCACAACTTTGGGGCATATTATGGAAAGAAAAGGGCAGAGAAAATGTTCTTTCAGCTGGATTGCTGTATATTTTACATCTCATTTACATGCGTGTGTGTGATGAAATCCCTGTAGCCATCACTGCTTGCACAGCAGAGCAGTCATTTGGCAACATATCAGAGTGTGAATCACACAAGACCGACACACAGCCAGAGAAGACACGATGACTATGAAACCCCGCAAGACACATTCCAGACATTTCACTTTAAGGCACAGAGACTGAGAAGCGCTAGTTAGACAATTTAATTGAAACTTATTTTTAACAAATATTAGCGCATTTTAACGAAAAGGACCGGGGTTGTTTTTTTAAGCCAATAAAAATAAAACAGAACTGTAGCTCCAAGTTCCGCTTTTATTTACTTTTCTGGGAGACCCGCCTGTATTTTCTTTTGCTGAGAATGTTTTGTTTATTTGAAAAACTATAATAAAACTGTTTCTAAAGCAAATAATTTTAATTCGTTTTTTTTAATCGTGGGTAATTAAATTAATTATAAGAAAAACGCGGGTTTTGTTTTTAAAAAGATGGAACAATTAAAAAGTAAAGTCTATTTCTCGTAACTACGAAAAGTGGCGATTAAACGTGTAATCTGACAGAGGCCTAATGGACATCTCCTTATGTATTTAGCCTATATTAAGATTCATTTTTCTACTTATTAATTGAAAATGGATCTGACAGCAGCCGGGTGGTGGGGGGATGATGACCGGATACTTCGCAGCTTTTGCGCAAAGAAAACCGCACAGAATTTTAAAAGAAAGAAAAGAAAGAAAATGTGAATTATCTGCGCACAACAGCACAGCTTTGTTGCCATTTTGGCAGAAAATTAGGTCAAATAATTACTCCTAAATTTGCGAGTTAAAGCGATGTGCCAGCCTTCCATCTTGTTCGTGTGTGAGTTCTTGGGATCGAGAGCAAGTCTAATTTGTCACGCTGCATTATTTTCCAGGGTTGAGTCGTGGAGACCCGGGCCTGCCTAAGACTCATTAAAAACAAGGCCAAGTTCACCATCACTCACCCAGCGCGCGCGCACACTCGCGCACAACACACACACGAACACGTGCTTTTGGTTTGCGTGCTGCCTCGTAATAGTTGGTGAAGTTATGTTCTTCGCAGTTCCTCCACATAAATTAAAAGCAATAATCCACAGAGGGCGGCGGTTTTACACTGATTTTAAACCACTAATTGGAGCAGTTGTGCCTGAAAGGAAGTGGATTTTTTAAATATTTTAAAACACTTTAGTAATTCATTGATAATCAATTAAATATTATTTTTGGCAAAACAGTTTGCTAGGAGCAGCTGAACAGCGGTGGTGACTCACAGGGTTCATTTGGCAGATTGAGTCACGGAGCTACACGGTAGGTGCGCGCATTGATCTGACAATTCACATCTGAGTTCATCCACTCAGAACAAAGAAGAGTACATTTTGTTTTCATCGACGGCACAAACTAACTTTATTAATGTGAATATGATTTTTTTATAAGCTAAGCAAATCCTGCGTTCAGTGACCCTTGGAAACGATCTGACCCGAGCGAGGTATTCATAGGACGTGACCGGATGACTGATGGCTATACTGCAGAGTTTTGTCAGTCAAATTGGTATCTAGCTAAATGAACAAATTTCAGCTAGAATGATAAAGCAGCAGGCAGTACTTCAGTCAAAGTTAATTTCGGGGGTATTTCAAAGAGCCATATGGCACTAAAACCGAGAGAGCACGCATAGGAGGGGCAGAAAAAAAGTCTGCCTTTTAGGACTAGAGCTGGGAATACCTCAAACCCGGGCCTAGATATCACCCCGTTCTGGTCTCGTGTTGTTAAAACGCTTGGAAAAACTATTTAAAATATCATCATTCATTGTGTTTTAAAAGTTTCAGCAACAATAAACGGTGAAAAGTGTGAAGGAAAGCCAGTGTGTGCTCAAAGTCAAGTTGTATTATGCTTAATTTAAGGACCGGTCTATTTAAAAAACAAAAGAACAACATATTTACAGTCAGACCTGCATCTTAAAGTCGACAGATGCTGACTGTGAATAAAACGAGTTACGCTAGACTTTTTTTGTGTGGATGCGCGGGCTGGTGGAGAATGAGAAAGAAAAATGTATCAGGTAAAAAAAAAAAAGAAATGCATCTATTTTAAACATATAAACACTCATTAATGACTGAAATATTGTGTGTATCTAACAGGACAAGATGATGAGCGTTTTTTCCCTGTCTGCCCCGATGTTTACACAAAACCAGGAGAGGGAGCCAGGTACAAGGAGTTGAGAGCAGCAGAGAACACTGCCTGTTCACTTAACAATAGAACACTGTTCGTTAAAAAGCTTTTAGGCAGAAATCATATGCATTTCTAACAAATACTGTGCTTTTTATGTAATGTTTGCACAATAGCGAAGTGCCAAACGGCTGTCAGGCCATAGGAATGGGGGGTGGGCGCATGTTTCACACATCACATCTGTCAAGCACTTTTGTCCACATCCAGAGCCTGTACAAGTTCAAAAACATCCCACTGAAACACAAATTTTCCACTCTTTAAGATAAACTGTGGCTGGGGTGGAAAACCGAGTCAACTAGGAGACGTATAGACTACTCACCGGGGAGCACAGCCCGTTAGAAGCCGTAATCCACTCTCCGCAGACGATATCAAACCAATAATCACAGTGCAGGCCAGGTGATTTAAGATTTCCTTTTCCGCTGCACTCAAGGCAAGTACCGGAGTTTCTTTTTTTCGTTTTCCCCGGAATCTCTTGGGATATGCCTGGTTGGGATGAACAAAGTGCAACTCAGGGAGTCAAAGCTGAGAGTTCTTCAGGTTTAGTGTTTGACGCACACCGAGAAAAAAAAAAATCAGTGCAAGCGCTCCGTGCGCTTAACAGCTTAAAGTCTGGTAGTAAGCAGCGGGATGGATAAAGTATCTAGTGACAGTGTGAGGAAATAGTCCTTTCCTTTCACGATTCAGTGCGTGACTTTGCGGTACCTATTAACAAATACAACCACCTACGGCAACCCAAAGCGCCACTGGCGGAAACCTAACTGTTGATTCGCTTCTAATTAAAAGCAGCATGAAACTTGTCTGTCCAAGTGGAAAACTGTCCCAGAATCCAGCTAAACTACACCACAAGAAGAAAAAGACGTGTAAAAATGTTAAGACAATTAATTCCAGCAGATCTCACGCTCACGCCACGGCGCGTTTTACCTGCGGAAAGATCCACACGGTGATCCTCGCCACAAACGACTTGTCAATTTACCTTCCATTCTGCGCAAAAAAACAAAAACGACTCAAGACAATTCCCCAACTCGAATTAAAAGTCTCCACTCTCAAAAAATTAAGTCATTCATCCGCCTCACCGAAAAAAATAAATAAAAACATTAATTGATCGGCTCCAGACTCTATGCTCCAAAAACTTTCCGCGCGGACTATCTCCAAACAGTGCGGCTTGGCGAGCGCGCACGGTGCCAGGGGGAGGAAAAGAGCACAGCGTGTGAACGACAGCGGCTTTTCTGAAGCTCCAAGCGCGTCGTCCTCCCACACCGTCTGTGTTGAAGTGCAAAAAACTATCCCTCCCTCTTTTCTCTTCTCCCCTCTCTCGTTCTCTCTCTCTCTCACCTGCTGCCCGGTCGCCTCCTCTCTCAAACTAGCACATTGCTGCATTGATGCGCGGAGCAAAACCTTCACATGGCGCATGCGCTTCACATTTCTCCTCAAATCCCTCTTTTCTTCCTCCAGTCACCAACTTTCAACAACCAAGGAATTTCAACGTAGTTGGAATTGAGGAGAGAGAGAGAGAGAGAGAGAGAGAAGGGCGGAACAGGCTGTTACAAAACAAGCGTCTCTATTACCTAAAACAAACTTATAAAGCACCCGAGGCTATTACCCTATCCATACCAGAGCAGCGTTTGGATTTTCACTGGCAGCAGATCGAGTTACCACTCAGTAAAATCAAGACAAGCAGGTCCATATCATGTGCTTATACAGGCTGCTCTCATCACCTAAGTGCCCGTGAGCATTACAGTCATTAGAAATAGCTCCCAGGCATAATAATTATTATTTTATGGTACGTTATCTCAAAACATGCTGCAGGAATCTGTCAGCTTATAGTTCGATATTTTTCACGGAGTACAGTCTGAGCGTAAAGTGTTCAATCCTTTTAATGTGTCACACTGTAGATTACTCAGTATGTACACAATGAGGCCATTCAAGGGTGAAAGACGTGTAGTTTTCAATTGCGATGGACAGAACCTGGTTTGAGGAAACAGAGAGAGGATAACAGTCAGTGAAAGAAACAATGCTAAAATGAATGCAGGGAGACAGTCACCTGTACATCTGGCTGTGGACCAAAATCAAGACTTGCTTTTAACTGATAGGGGAGATGATTACACTGATGTAGTTGCCTTAATTAAGTGCCATCAATCTCGCAGTCTGCTGCCTTTCCTTTACATTATGTGATGGAAAATGCCTGATTTGGCTCCCAGCTAACTTTTTTGTGACGTTTTTTACAGCACTTGGACAAAATCCAAGTGTAAGCTGTATTTTCTTTCAAATGAGCTAGTTAGTACGATGCAAAGCTATATTTTTACATGTTTTATACGTGGCGGTGCAGTGGTTACCACTGTTCCCTGGTAGATGAAGGTTGTGTCCTTTCTTGCAGTGATGGACTTCAGAGCTGTTGCCCTGTTTGGACCAGTGAGAGCTGCCATACAGATTCCAGTCCCATAGTCACCACGTGATCTAACAGTAGCCATCAAGTTTTAACACCACACACTGTGTAACTGAAAGCTGAATCTTATTATATATTGAGACTTAATATTAACAATGCTTATCTTTGCCAGACAGGTGTTTGGCTGTTTTCACACAGTGTAGGACTGTAATAGTGTTGTGTCCTCATAGCTGTGACAGCATTGAGTCCTGGGCATTTTGGCTCACAGCGTTACCATGTTGAATGCTGGAGACTTCTGACTGTGTCAGAGAACACTTTAAAACATCCTTAGCCACCCCCACCACTACCCAGCACCACCATGCCTCACTACCCCTACCTCCCCACAAGTCCCCCTAGGATAAAAAAGGGCAACATCTGGCTGAGTTTATGAGGGAGAGAGAGAGAGAGAATTGGTCGACCATGAAAACCGAAAGAAAGGAAAAAAAACTTTCTCGGGCAGTGCAAGAAACTATTGTTGTAGATGCCATTAGTGGGGGGGCAACTTTAAACTTGTGAAAAATACTCGTCGTTGCACTCACATTTATCAGCAACCCCAGCATCAGTGCTCACGCTGCGGTCTCCCTGATGAAGCACGCACAGTTTGCACAGTTCTTGTGAAACCAATATTTTATTCAAACAACAGAAACAGGCTGATCACTGCAAACCACTGTGGAAGAAGTCAAGGGCGACTGCTGTTACCCCCAAACGTTCATATCATCACATGAAGACAGTGTAGCACAAAACCACACACACACGCACGCACACACACACTACAAAAACTGTACATATTAGGTAACAACCAAATGAAAACACCACTATGCTGCTAAATTAAACTGCAATTGTACATTGTCATCACATCAGGTCAAGCTCCAGTACAGTGAAAAAAAGTATTAATGCAAGACACTTGATTATAATCAGATTAGTCACTCAGATTCACAGATCAGTAGACAGTAACATAATACACCACTCGTTGAAATCAGAACAATAAGTCACACGAATCTGTGATATTTAAAAAAGAAGAAGAAAAGTGGCACTCAAATAGTTTCAGCTGTAGAAAATCAAACAGAACATGAAAGTGGTTCACTAAACAATGAAGGGGAGGCAAGGCGAACACAAGGAGAAATGTATGCAGACTTTTCTTATAATAAGTTGGCTGCTTTGAGGTCAGCTGTGTTTTCCTCCCAGTTAACTAAGGACCCTATTCTTGGAAAAGAAGGAAGCTAATCATCAAACATCTCTGCAGGAAATGGGAGATGGGCAAGGGTGGTTTTACAAAGCACTCAGTTGCAGTGTCATTTCAGTGATGTATCTCAGCAGATATCTCCTTTGGCACAATACATTGAGAAGGTCTCTGTGGATTATGGATTACAAGGTCCGTGTTGTCATATTTACACAAGTCTGATATTTAGCTGCAAACGTGAATACTTTTCGTGCTACCATAAAAGAGTCTAGAGCTGGCATGAGTTCCTCTGGCTCAGCTCGGCCGCACTCATAGTCAACAGTTGTTTGGGGGACGGTTGATGAGAAGCCAGGACTCTGTAGCACCACGGTACTGTAAAATAAATCCAGCTTCCAACTGAAGAAAGCTGGAGAAATGAAGGCAGTGGACCGCTTGCCACACTGATGCCAGATGTTCTGATGAGGTGCACACACAGTGTTCCCAGGTCTTCTGTGGGCCACTGCATACCAGTTGCTAGAATAACTCATTTCTGCCCATCTGAAAACTTCACCAGATTCCAAGTGCAATGGTGGGTGCTTGAGTGTGCATTTATATCTGTGTTTAATCAGGTCTGGTGGTCTCGATGGTGAAGGATATATGAGCCGGTGTATCTGTGTTCTTGTAGCTGATGCCTGGTATCTGTGAGAAGAAACATTGAGAACAAAGTGAGTAAAACATGTAAAATGCAAAGAATACAACAAACGAAACAAACAAAAGCTAAACTCTCTGTGTCACATAGGTGTGTGAAAATGCATTTTCTAGTCGGTGACGTTAGGTTGTTTTTAATTTCCACGGTGATCTCCAAAGAGGTTACATCACGTTGCTGGACAAACAGACCGCAGACAATAGTCCAGTGTGGACGTGTTTTTTACGCTATAGCTTGACCATTTTCTTCCTGTAACTGTCTGGCAAGTCTCCAGAGCTCCTTAAGAATTCCCTAAATGCAGCTGGCAGCAACTCAAACATCAAGTGCTCATTAATAAAAAGAAAAACCCCTATTGGAATGTGTCTGTTACTCAGGCCGCACAGCAGTCAGTAACAACTCACTTCTTTCCTGAGGGCTGTGAAACAATGATGTATGTCTGGTACGCTGGGGGCGCCTCATTGGCTGAGCAAACAGGCCCGAAAATAACCACCAATCACTGAAGACATTATCATCAGTCATCAGGGAGGCATAGTGAAGGAACTTCAAGACAAACTTAGACATATGCACAGGTAAATACATAAAGATCCCAAAACACTTAAGTTGCAATTAATGGTAATTAACTGTCGCATCCTGGGTTGGTGTATGCTGCGTATGAAGAGAAATGTCAAATTACAAGTAATTGTTCCAGATTTGCTGGGCAGCTCACACTTTTTCTGCTTCACTGTGATTGGCTGCTCAGCAAAAAAAAAAAAGGACCATCCATTACAGGCAGAAGTAAATAAACAGGAATAGCAATTAAAGTGAAATCATTTGTTATGCAATGCAGGGTGTGTATGTGAGCATGTGTACACGTAGCTGTTCTTGGATGTAAGTTTTACCAAATAAATATGTGCATGTGTGTGTATGTGAGAATTTGCCTAGGTGGGTTCGAGGCCATTCTCAGGTTTCTTTGCACTTAAATTAATGATTTGGAGGCCCAAGAATCAACAAATATGGCCCCCGGCAGGGCATAACGGAGCGCACGACCTGCCCGTGGATGTGTTTGAAGACTGCTCCTCTTTCTTCTCTGTCAGCACCTCACTACCTCCAGACAACAGACGCATTCACTACACAAACTCACATGCGACGCCTGCGTTCATGCTGTTTATGAGGAAGTGTGTTGCTATGTGGTCATGAATGTGTGTATGCTTATCGACCTGTGATTATTTAACATGTCAGCATGTTGTGACAGTGTGTTAAAATCATACGAAACTTTTTGTTCCTTATTTGAAGTGTTGCCTTTGTGGTCACGACTTCTTCATTTCTTTTTTTTGCAGCTTTATGAATGTGATAAAGCAAAGCATATTGTGTCAGACAGGACCACGCGTGGGATAATTGAGTGAGCTCAGATGGCTCTGACAGGGCGCTTAAAGCCTTTTGTGCCAAAAGGACAAAGTTTCTTTTTTTACAGCTAAATCCACCCAAAGAAAAGTCACCTGCGTGTTCACTGCATTTCAGCTTAGTGAGGTAGTAACTGTCACCGAGTCTATAGTTGCTCTTTATATGCCCCTTAAATTACTTGTTCCAGCAGATGTTCTTCCATTGCTTGAATGATGTGTAACAGAAACAACTTGCAGATATTTCCTTATGCAGTAATGCAAAAAAAGGAAAAAAAGCAGGATGAGCTGAGAATTTGATGTTTGCCAGAAAGTGGCAAAGACATGTGGAGGAAGAGAAAATGGTTTTGTGTAACGGTCTGGCAAAATGAAAACGGTAAAAGTGTTGGAATGTGATAAACTGCAGAATAATATGCAAACACTGACCCGAATCTTCAAAGAGCAACTGTTGATAACCAAACGTTAACAACTCATCCAACACATCCGATTCCCTGCCATCATTACTAGGAGGAAAAAATGAAAGTACTAATACTAAACATGAATTTGCTTTATAAAGGTCTCAAACGCCAAACAGCCATTCCTTGTCCCCATGTAACTTTCATCCCCACCCCTCCACTCCTGGCTTCCTTGACGATGGGTACGTGTGTGTAAATGATTAGTACCAAAATTAGCAACATCTGATGTTTATTTCAGGTTAAGGAGGTAAGTAAATAAATAAATGAATGAATGACTAAATACACCGCCTGTTTTTATAGAAACATTGTGTAGAAATGATTCAGGAGGCGGATATTCTGCTTTGTTATCTACTAGTCCGTCATGAGGATTGGATATGAATCCCAGAGTCTGAATGCAAGCGGCTGAACTCCTTCTTGTCTTTAAGTGCTACTTATATAAACTTGTTGTTAAATGGATCCTTGCAGAGGTTTGGACCACCAGTGTTAGAGTGCTGCTCTTTCACTTGGAATTACCCCTGTGGTTGGTGTCCTATCACTCCTGAGACAAAAGAGAAACACGCTAAATTCAATTACCAGTACAAAGACCCCCCCCCAGCTCAGTCTACAGAGAGGGGAGACATAAAGCAAGTCAGTTGGTTGTATGATGATGAAGCTATTTAGGGTGAAATACAAGCATAGTGGGTGGGGATTTTCTTCCTGTCTTAATAGTCATGAGGAAATCTGTAAATCCTGACATAGTATGTGACCATTCATGTCTTGAAACTGCTGCCAGGAAATCTCTTATCATATATCAGAGCCTTGCACTAGTGGTGACTAGATATGCTCCATGATGGTACAAACAAACAAAAAAGAAAGAAAGGTCCGATCCCAGGAAATGCTTAAGGTGCAAAAAGTGAAACTGTAAAGTGGGGGAGTCTGAAAGCACCAAGCTGATGTCACACAATGCTGTGAACCAAAAGCACTAAAAAAGGAGGAAAAAATAAAGCAAACGATTGAGATCACATGGCCATCCCATCATCCTAGAACCGTAGCCTATTCAAATGTGGTCAGGAAGAGAAAGTATCTCCTCTCAACAATTGCTTCAAGAGCTTGCTCCTTCTTCCCTCGACCCCCCCCTTCTTTCTTTCTTTCTTTTCTCTGCCTGACTTTTACAACTTCCTCCTGGTTGGGCTGCAGCTCTAACCCAAACAAAACTCCATTTTTTAGTTATTGGCCCTCATGGCATGTAATGGAGAATCAAGCTAATTATCCCTACAGCTGTTTTCACTTGCTTTTTATGTAAGCAATACCTGGCTGATGCAGAGAGCAACAGTGAGGCCCTTCTTAGCGCTCCAGGCCTCCAGGCCGGCTGGAATTAGAGAGCAAAATGCCAGGTTTCCCTCCCCCGATACTGCCTGTGTGTACCCCTGAACCCATCTCCCAGCACACATCCCAGTCTAACTCAGCCAGACACAGTCCCCCACACATCCAAAGCTTCTGCGTCCACTCCCTATTACATCTCTCTCTCGCTTTGATGTTTAACAAAGCTGCTCTTCAACAGCTTAGATGGATCTGTGTGACAAGTGTTCATTTTCTTCCACTGATGGTCTCTGGCAATTAACGGAGGAGGAGAGCCAGGGTGTGGCTTGGGTTAAATTGGAACCATCTCCTGCTGTCACAGGACTGAGAGACAGGGTGAGTGCACAAAAAAAAGATGGAGGGAAAGAGAGACACAAGGGTAAATGCAGGGAGTGGGAGAGAGGGGGGTAAAGAGTAAAAGAAAACAATCCCTCACAGGCTAATTACATAATTTCCTTCATCTGAGCAAACACATGCTGGGTGAAAGCAAGTGTGAGCAAGCCCCACAGATGCCAGGCCAAGAGGTGCAGAGCAGACCCACTAACAGTCTCTAGCAATGGGCGGCTTGTGCCACAAAGGCGCTCGGCCAGATCTCAGAGGCGTCTGCGGAGTTTGTAGCTTTTGTGGGAGTCGTATCCACAACCTTAGTATCGATCCTCCCTTCCCCGGCAATCTCAGGGCAAAGTGACTCAGTGCAGATAAACAATTGCTGGTGTACTGTTTCCTTCATAACAGTCCATTCCTCACTGCAGCCAGAAATCTGTTCAGTACAAACACCACTAGGTGGAGTTGACTGTTGTTGAAAAAAAAATATCTCATGTATCAAACTCATTAAAGTCCCATGGAGAGGCAGCGTGCATCTGTAAAAGTGAGTCGGACAGCGTGTATGCCTCACATGTGCTTTTTCTGAACTTTCCTCTTGCTCAAACACCGCTTCGCTTGCCTGCTCCGGCTGTTTGCGTCTTTTCAAATTGAGATCAGGTTGAAATAAGCACAGGCAAAGAGAGAGAAGGAGAACATAGTAGCAATTTCAAGACTTCTATCATTTCAGCAGAAATTACAGTTAAAACTATGCCAGCTCCAGAACGTAAAAGAGCAGTCCTCCCCTCCAACTCTCTCCCTCCCTTTATGTTTTTCTGTCTCTAATCCGGTAAGGAATGATGGAAGGCTCTGTGTGGAATGGTGGTGAGTTGGGTCCAGCCAAGGTGTGCCAGCGTACTAAAGATACGGGTAGAATCTGCAGGAGCTGTTCCTAATGCGAAGGTTGTTTTGACATATTCACACACAGACACAAGTATGCAGGCATTCTTGCATTAAAAAGAGCAGCACATGCTGCAAAAGGGTTACCGGTGGGACTTGCTAACATATTCATCAATCATTTAAAAAGCCCTACAGTAAAAAAGAAACTATGTACATAAAACAGCGCATTATGTTCATGCAAGTTCAAAAAACAGGTTTGTGCAACAGCAGTAAGAACTGGATGGGATTCTATCTCTCAGCTCCTAGTCTTTTTGATCTCTAACTAATCTCTGAGCTTTTCCCCTATGATTCATCCTCCTGCCCTCTCCTCTCTAAGCACAGTGTGAGTGGCAGTGTTTATGTTAGTGTGAGAAATGTGTGAGTTCTACTGTGGGCCAGCTGCATGGTTGTCAAACTCTGTGTATGCAACCCACTACTGTACCTGCTTTCATACTGAGGCTAGTGCGCGAAAGCTACTTCCGTCTCATAACAACACCTTGACCCGGAGCTTGACCTTGACATGGAGCAGAGGCGGGCCATCAGAACCAGGGCCTAAGAGGCCTGAACATGCCTGCATCTTGAAAG